CATGTCACAAAATATCCACATTCCACACTGAAAGGATGTGGCTTTCTTCTCACAAGAGCTTAGGAGATAAGAAGGGATCAATATAATACATTACATAAATCAATGTGGATACTGAGATAGCATAAAATATATATATTTTTTAACTTCTGAAATTGATACCCAGCAGATTTTATTGAGTATTTTTGGACACATAGTTCAAAGTTTTGTTCACTCTACACATTTCCTCTTAGATTGTCCAGATTTCATCTTGTATTAAAGTTTAATGCTGAAAAAAAACAACAACGGCTGCGGTACAATATTGAAATTCAGACCAAAGTGAAATGAGTTAATGAGTTGGTTATGAAAGTCTGTACCACTAAAGCACATCTTAAGCTCGTCACATTTTCATCTTTACAGCTTGCAGCGACTCAACTTATGGATTGTAGGCACCCTGAGGGCATCACTTGTTTCCTTTCATTCCCCACACACTCACTAATTACTTGCATGCGCGGGGCAACTGAGGAGTTTCCAGTCTGGTAACCCTTTTAGCGTCAGTGGATTTAGTTTACATAAAGAGCAATAAAATCCCAGGCAGCAGATCGGGAGTTCATGGTAGCGCAATAGAAACGGTTTTTATTCCAAAATGAAATTCCTCTGAAACCGAACTCGCAGCTTTACTGAACCATGCCAGTCACAGTTTACACAATACATGAAATTTACATGATAAAAAATTAGTATAAACAGTCATTTCTATTTCACTTATTCTTTAAAGGGCCTATTTTATCCAAACCAATAAAAAAGGAATGAAACAAAAGTTTCTGTAACGCATTCTTCCTGTATTTTCTGCTTTTATGTCGATGTTTGTGAAATTTACTGTAAAAGGATGTAACGTTTTGCTTTTTTTGTGTGAAAGCAGCAAGATGTCTATTGAAAAATATGTCAGTTTTTTTGTTGTTGAATAGATTACTGTAAAAGCCCGTTGACAAAGATGTTTGCACAGAAAATGTCGGTAATTTTCAGATTTTTGTCTTACAGCGTGTATACATATACAGTGCATTACGGTAAAGACAGATTCCCAAATGGGACACTTGCCTTCTGACAAGACAGGCAAAACAATCTGCGAACGCAGATCGATCTCAGGAGGAATCGACGCAGAAGAGAGCGCAGCGTTAACGTGAAAATGCTCAGTGCAAACTGACGCTGCGCGTTTGCTGCAGCAGCAGCAGCTGCAGCAGCTCCGTCTGGCGGAAGCTGATTGTATGAAAGCCGATTAGGAAAATGAAGCCGGAAGCTGAGAGGGTGAAATTGTGATTCCACACACTGTGACTGGTTTTGTGAGAGAAGATGTCTGCTTTTAGAGCAGACGAGACAGCTACCGAATGTTTTCCTTTTCAAGCTTCCTGCCTGCTTTTTCTCAAGAACGCCGAGTAGAAGTACATGTCTGCGTCGAAAGTGATTTTGTGCTTAAAAAGGGATCTAACTGAAGAGATTTGTTGGGTTTTTTTTTGTCTCGTATCAATAACAAACCAACTGTTTTGGGTGGATAAATGTTAAAACGTTTTTCATTCCGACTTCTTCGTTTCATTTGTCTTTGTAGGTTGTTATAGATTTTTCACACCCTGTAGGACAGGAGTGTTTAAGGCATTTTTGGGGTCATTGGTGCCCGCGAGACTGATTTTGTGTGGCTGCAGTTCAAAAATGGCACAAATCTCTCCCACTAGAATTGGTTTTACCTTTTATTTTTAATTAAGACAAAACTAAATGAGTTAAATTAATTAAAGTTTTTACAGTAGAAAAACGTTAAGTAAGTAAAACACAAAATGTTTGTCTCTTGCTATTGAAGCTTTTTCCATTCTCTTTGATTCATTAGTTTCTCTCTAGTGCCTTAAAACAAAAGCACTTTGGATGCTGTCAAATCTGCTTAAAATTAATTGGACTTGGTAAAACACAGCAAGTGTTTTCAAAGATGCAGTGACTCAGATCCTGTTCAAAAACTTGTTCTGGTTTTTAGCGAAAGAATTAGCGAACTTGTTGCATTTCTTTTGGCTAACTAGGCCTTCAAAATCATGTCTGAGTTTTAGATTCTCAAGGATTGAATCATCTCTTCCCTACAATAAATCTCGCGACTTTATTTTCACCACCACAGTTTTACATTTCAATAAGTAAAGAGACAATGAAAATGAAACAATGATAAAAAGAGTAGGAGAAACATAAGTAGCACTGTGAACAAAGTCTCCTCTTGCAGTTTATGCTCATGTCTACTGCAGTACAGCTTGCTGTTTCCAGGAGTTAGAAAAGTTGACTGTAAAATATAGCAAAGAATTATGCAATTTTTAAAAAATTTTTTAGGCACACAAGCATTGCAGTGAATATCACATTTCTATCTGGTATCCATAATTACCACAATAACATTTCATAACACAAGCTTCATAGAATGTATTGATTTGCCCCAAGCTAACGTGTAAGTAAGACATAGTGAGTAGCTAGAGAAAAAATACTGTTCCACGTTTTACTTCATTATCTAAAAGAAATATTAAATTTGAGAGTTTGGGTTAACAGAATTTTCATGAAAACAGACAAAAATCTTTGCTAGGCTAAACAACGCTATCACCATTTCTCATCAAACAGGTTCAGCGTTAGCTGCAGCCATTGTCAGTGAGAGTCATACCTCTTGTTGTTCCCATTGGGCTGTTGGTTGTCACAGTTTGTATTGCGTAAGGTTCTGAATACAAGGCGGCAGGAAGCTATTCTGGATTCAGACAAACTTTGATCTGAACCGAGACTCAGAACAAACCGTGAACATGACAAGAAGCAGCCATGTTAAGAGAGATTAACTTGTTCTGTTCACATAGGTCAGCTGCTGTTACGGAATAAAACGCCTTATTATTTGGTATGTGGGAGGAGTTACACTTGCCTAACAACCCAGATCAGGAATATGTAGTTTATAAACTTTAGATCAACTTTGCTCGATCTAAATTTGTTACTTTGTTTGTGTTTCCTTTTAATTTATGTGAAGCACTTTGAATTGCCTTGTTGCTGAAAATGTGCTATACAAATAAAATTAGCTTACCTTAATGCTGGCCGGTTTTATCTGCTCGGCTTTGATTGCCTGCAGTGTGGTCTGTCAATATTTCTGGAATACTTTAGCGTCAAGTTTTGAGTTTTTATTGATTGAGCAATGTGTCTTATGATTGTACCCTTTGAATATCGCCAGCTCTATTTTTCCATGTGCGATTAACTTTGTATTTGTTCTTCATGAGCCAGGAACTGTGATTTTTATTCTTAAGGTTTGATCACTGAACGGCTGGTCAGGTAATGGAACAATTGTTGAAGGGCTTCATGGAAAATAGTTTTATTCTGTCGATTCAGATTGAATCAGAGTGAACTGAGGTCAAGTGGTGAGTTAAAACTCATTTCGTCTGCATCAATAATGTGTTGAACTGCAGACATGCATTATATTGTACGTAAGACAAAGAACCCTAACCCTTGAGATAATCAGATGTTAGAAGAAGACTGCTTCTGTCAGAGTGTTTAGCCTTCCTGGTGTCTTCTTAAAGCTTCACTCTCTCTCACCATCTTGTGGTCTGAGTTTGCTTTCAAACAGTTTCTTGCAACTTTTTTCACTCTCTGTGGCTTTATTTTAATTTAATCACATTTCATTATACTATCCCACGAGTGATCTTCACTCAGTAACGGCATTCACACCAAAGAGTGTTATTTTGCACAGCACCTGGCTTTCACTGATCAAATAAATATCACGGTTTGGAGTTTCAATCTGAGAATTATCCGATTTATGTGACTTTAAGTTAGTTTGTTAAATATTTAGTTCTGTTAAAGTTGCCTTGCTGCTCACTTTAGCTGTGTTACATTACAAATGTCTTTGTCTAATATTTTGCTGATGTCAGTAACAAGAAAAAATTGCAATTGTGATGTTTAGAAATCATGGAAAACATGAGCGAGCGTGCTTTCTGTGATCAAAAATCAACACGTTTGAATGACTGAATGTTTTATTAACTGTGTGACGTTCTGGTGTAGCCAGACAAACACCACCAAACATCCTCCTCCTACTACTTCCTGTCCTCTTCGTCATTTCTGCCAGTAGTAACATCCAGCTATTGATGACGTGACTTGTGTGAAAAATCTCAACTTTTTTAGCGAAAAGCTCCCTTTTTTCTTTTTCACCAATTAGCAAATTTGTTTTAGCAATTTCAATTTGGAAACAGAGCTGGTGACATGTCAGGCAGTGAGACCGTCAGTGACTGAACGTCTCTGATCAGTTCATTCTCTAGAAAGGGATCAGAACCAGACGTTCCCATCGTCTTTTGGGTTTTCTTTCTGTTTTGTTTTCCGCTCTTGTTCCAATAAACTCCACCATCACAGTCCTCCTCCAAGCTAGTATCGGATTTCTTCTTCTCCTCCCACTCTTGATCTTCTTTCTCTCCCAGTTCTTCTTGTTTGCCTGTTTTTTTTTCTTCCTCTCATCCCGCTCTATCCTTCTCCTCATCCCCTCCCTCCGCCCTTCCCTATCTTCCTCTAACTCCTTTCCTCTGGCTAATTAAGCGATCCTCTCTGATTCCCCTCCAAATCCGTTCTGTACTTTTCTCTCCTCCTCTTCACCTTAATCAAGTGTTTTTTAAATTATGACTCCTTTCCTTCCTTCCTTCTTTCTTTCAGTCTTTCCTAGGTTCCTTATTTTCCCTGACAACAGATAATGTTATGTAATCCACGACTCTAGGTATTAGATATGCAAATCATGCGTTTTTATTTATATGTTTTTTTCCTCTCTCTCTTCTCCTCCTTTTTTCCTGCACCCCACCCTTCCGCTCCTCATCAACTCTTTTCTCTTTTTTCTTTGCTCGTTTTCCTTCCCACTTTTCCCTACGATGTTCCCACTCTCCTCTCCGTCTCTGTCTTTCCCTTCCTCGTCTCTCCCTCCATCCTTCACCTCCTCTCACCGTTCCTCCCTCCATCCCTCCTTCTCGCGCCCTCCTCTCCTCCCTCGCGCTCTCTACCTCCTCCAGCCGCCAGCGGTCTCGAGGCAGAGAGCGGAAGGCGCGGCGGCGGCAACAGCGTCAGCAGCCACGGCGACGGTAACCACAGCAGTGGCGGTGGCGGAGGCGGCGGCGGCAGCGCGGCCCATTTCAGGTCTCCATGGCAACAGAGCGTGAACGTGTTCGGCTCGTGGAGCAGGCCGGAGTGTGTCGAGGAGCTGCACCAGCAGGCGCAGCTCAACCTCCAGAGCCTGCTGCAAGGTAAGAACGGACGAACGGATGTCGGGGGGGGGGGGGGGAAGAAAGGAGGAAGAGGAGGAGAGGATGGGCGTGTAGACGGATGGAGAAGGAATGTGTGTTTTGGGTGTGTGTGTGTGTGTGTTGTGTTTTGAGTGCGTGGGAGAGGCTTCAAAGCACGAGCGGATGGCAGAGTGTTTACATGCACTGCGCTGATATGGGTGTGTGACGGCCACCTTGAACATGCCTGCGCATGTGTGTTTGCATGCAGATGCGAAGCCTGTGGACGTGCGCGTGTTGTTTTCACCCGTTACCATGTGGTTTTATTCCACCGTAGGGTGTGTGTGTGTGTGTGTGTGTGTGTGTGTGTGCAATGAAAATCACCTCACAGGCTTGTTTTTAAATCATCCTGCTCTGTGTTAACTAAACACTTGATGGAACTGATGGGCTGCGTCTCGCTGTGAGACAAGTTTCCAGCGTCAGAAATGATTGGTGTTTTTAATAGGTGGGACATTGAGATTTTGTTATTCACCTCTGATTTCTGTGAGCGTTCAACCTGTGTGCGTGTGTGTGTGTGTGTGTGTGTGTGTGTGTGTGCGCGCGCGTGCATATTCACCCTCTTAAAGGACCCAGGCTATCATTTTTGGTGCCAGGTAGCTTTTGTGTTTTTTTTTCTTTCTTTCTTTCCTCTAGTCCCATTTTAACCAGTTTGTTCTCTCACTTGATCTTTTTTTTTTTTTTTATCACTGCTGATGTGACTCATGGCCTATATGCCTGCCATTATTGTAATTACCGCTGGTTGTTCACTAAATGGACATAAGGCAGGTTTAAAAAAAAAAAAAAGAGAAGAAACAGGCAATGTGACAACCCTTAACACTTTGGGGAGGCTATAAATGAGAGAGCGACTCCTTCGATTCATCACACGCGTCTTCGCCATAGTAAGCCACCTTTATGAAACATGGTATGTGCTGAAATTCGCAGCAAGGTGTGGGGATATAATAAGTACGACTGTAGTGCGTCACTGATGGCTAATTCTGGCCAACCCAAAAAAAGAAACGCCACAAAAGCACAGTGTACGTCTTCTGCTCGGAGTCTGAAAAAGAGCGAACGCCTCCGACCGCAAACTTAACTTATTTTACATGACGACAATAGAAACTTTATGTCAGACTCAAACAAGACGTACGTGACCACAACCAACCAGAATCGAGATTATACACAATTTATCATAAAGTCGCCTAACATTGACTTTCGGTTAAATAAATGAAAAGTTCAAAGTTCTTCAGGTCACAAAAACAAAATACAAGTTGTGAAACAAGCAATAAACATTACATCCGGTCAGGTGCCATCGATGAAATCATCAAATATATTGATCAGTGTTCCTGGAACTACGAATCAAATTCAACTTGAGGGTATTCAAATTCAGCATTACTTGATTGATCCCAAAGGGAAATGAAAAGTTTTTATGTCTTTCGGCTCTCCTTTGAAGAAACCCACCGTTTTGGCAGTTTTTCCTTTTTCTGGAAGTTTGTCCCAAATTTGTGGATGTTGGAAGCTGAATGCGTCTTCTCCGTGGTTGGTTCTGGCTCTGTGATCTCAGAAACAGACATAGTGGTGGTAATGTACGGATGCGAGGCTCCTTTGTTCCCTCAAAACCTGGACGACTTGCCGTAATCGACGTAATCGCGACTTCTGCTCTCTACCAGAACATCCTGCCGGGGAAAGTCCAGCCGCCAGTACAGAACTATTGGTTAAAACTTTGGTTATGCAACACGAATGAAGTTAAGTTCTGGAGTGGCCTATCCAAAGTCTGGTCTTAAATTCTGTAACATAACCTTAAAAACGCTGTTTATACTCACAAATCCTCAAACTGAGCAAATTTGAAGCTTTTCTACATAATAGAGTTCAGTTTTCTGTTTTTACTCCAGTTTTCTCTATCCAATATTAAAATCTGTTTGACGAATTGGTGACATAAAAGCAAAAACCCCTTTTTCACAGCGCTGTATGTCTTGTGGACGTAGTTTGTCCTAAAGCAAGAGACCAGAAGTTTGATCGCCTCGATAACTTCAAGAAAAGCACAAGTTTAGTGGCTGAATTTGTGGTTCTTGTGAGTCTTTGTGTTTTGCTTTCTCTTGCCTCTCTCGGCTCAATGAACCCTAAACGTGCCTTGAGAAGAAGTGTGTTGTGTTTTTAAACAGCTTCTTCCTCTGACTTCATTTTTAAAAATATCACTGTTACTGAAGATAGCCAGCTCTGACTTTTCTTTCTGCGGTAAAAACTTCCCCACCGAAGAGTGTTGTTGTCACTGATTGAAGAGTCAATCTGGCCAGGTCTGGCGTGGTTTCCTCTGGTCTTAAAGGGAAGACAGGTAAAAATGAGAAGCGATGACTAATGAAGGCCTTGTAAGTTGCTGAGCTACTGAAACATAAGTTTACTGGAAGTAAAGCAAGTTGCTCCAGTTTTGCTGAGTGTTTTGCAGGCCCCTGTTCGTTGATGGTTTACGCTTTTCCAGGACTCCGCCGCCTCGTCTCTGCTGCACTTGTAAAATTTTGATGAGTCCGTCAATGTTGCATCAACGTTGCAGAGTGAATGCTTATTTGAATGCAGAAACGCGGAATTAAAAAGTCATCCTGTCTCACCTTGCGTGTTCGAGCAACAGTTGGTGCAACTCGATCAGGAGTGACGCTGCTCTTCTGCGTGCTCACGCTCCTCTTTATTGTCTCTAATCAACTGTTTCCCACTTGAGTGAAGCTCTCTGAACAGGATGTGTGCAAAGGGAAAGCACTTTTAAAAGTTTTGAAGGAGCGGGAGCCAATTAATCTTCTGGCACATCTTGCCAATCTGGGTTTTATGTGACAGGCCAACACCGAGTGGTGAATAAAGGAGAAGCGGAAGGAAAATTCCAGCTGTAATCCTTTTGGGGAACTGCTGTGCCAACTTTGCTCTGCTTGATGGGGAGACAGACTTATTCACCCACTCTTTCCAACTCAGCTAAAGCTCAATCAGGCTGCATTGGAACTAGGACTTCATCTCACGATTATTTTGTTAATCAATAGTTGCAACCCTGATGTCAGAATAATCTATTATTCTGACGATGAATCTGATAAAAGAATTGCCTCTTTCTTCAGATTTTTTTATCTAACCACTAGCGCTTCTTCGATAAAATATTTAAACAAATGATTCAATTTCTTTATGAAGTAAGAAAATAAACATTTTATTACCTAAAATGCAATAAGATACCATTCCTTTAGCGTGCAGTTGAAAATTTGTAGCAAAGAACGCATGTGGAGGTAAAGAAAGGCTGATTTGTTTACTATTTTTATCAATTAATAACTGGATAGTAGAAGGTGGTTAATGGGAGAATTTTACAGAATTTGAACCTGAGGGAGCGAAAACTACTCTGGGTCGAATATATTGACAGACAAAGAAGGGTCTTCATCTAAAATCCTAAAAATCGATATTTTTTGCCCAGTTTTGGCCTAATCACTACCTGTTTTTTTTTTTTTTTTTTTGCATCTGTGTGCCCCAGTTAGTGATTAATCGATTACCAAATTAGTTGATGATTATTTCAGTAATCGATTAATCCGATTAATTGTTTCCGCCCCTCTCTGAGCATCAACTTTGAAGAATTTCTCCACAGATTCTCTGCTGTATTGAAGTCTAGAGTTTGACACAGGCTGAACTTGAAAGGTTTGAACTCCTCAAAACATCTCACACCTGAAAGTGAGTGGCAGAAGAATAAATAGTCTTTTAAACAGAACATTTGCTGGGGTTTCCTACAATTTCAGGTCCAGAGTTTTTCAAAGTGAGCGGTGGAAAAACTTTTATAAAAAACATTGTTTTTAGTCATAAAATCTAATCTCTTTTTCAATCGGTGTTGCAAAATATGGGACAGAAAAACTTATTAAAATGTTATTTTGCCTGCTAGGCCTCGAGCTAGTGTGGGGTAGACAGCTAATATCACAAAATATGAGGCAACATTTATGCTCAACTAATATAACTATTGAAGAGACAACAAAAGTTGATGATTTTTCCCGTAGTTTGTTGCATTGTCAGCACTAACTAAGCTAATCCGGGAGCCATGGTTTGGAAACGTTTGGGAACTCCTGGCTTAAACTAGAACAGGATACAATTGGATTTCTATGTCACTTACCTTTCTTCTCTCTTAGCGTCATATCTATAACATATTTATTTTTGTACATATAAAACGGCGCGGCTGCAAATCCGTTGAGTAATTTCACCCTGAGAACAACGGAGCGACACGACTCTTCCACTTGCCCCAAATCTTACAGTTTGTTTCACCTCCACATGACGATAAGTTGTTTGGAAATTCCTTAAAAGCAGACGCAGTGAATTATTGATGCCTCCTTTGAACCACATGTTGTGTTTTAGGAATGATAGCTCTGCAGCCTTTCAGGTTTCTGCACTCACGTTCTTACAGACTGTAGGAAAACAGAGAGCGGATGAGAAATGAGGCATCCTGGGAGCTCAGATGTTTCTCATCAGACCACACATGAGAAGATGTGTGGTCATCGTTTGACCGTTTTCTGATCATTTCAGGTTAAGATTTCAGGTGTCATTCGCGTCTGTTTGCTTTGTTCCATGCAAAGTTACAGCTACCCCGTCTTACATCTCTGTCTGCCTCCTCTTTTCTATCCACCGCCTTTGCCTTTTTTAAAAAAATTGTCTTTTTCCCTCTCTGTGTGTGTTTATGTGTGTATTACACCCGGTATTGTCTGAGACAGACTGGCGTCTTGTGTACGATGAAAATAAGATGGATGAAAACACTGGTGGGTGGACGGCATCAGTGGTGGCGCAGAACATGCGTGCGTGTGACCATTCATCGCTTCTCCGTCGCTGTGTGTGTGCGTGTGTGTGTGTGTGTCAGTATTGTGTGAGTTCCTATACGTTTCCCCGCTTTGCGTGTCCGTCTGTTTGGACGTCTGTTATATAACACGGAGGCGAAGCAGCTGTGGTTTCCCTGGCCATCCTCGCTCTCCCGCTGGCCTCGGCGCCATCAAATATTC